GTTACAGAGAATTTGAGCCTCAAAGAAACATTGCAAAGAAGCATTCGGCAAACCTGAGACCTGAGGGTCACTTTGGAGAGACTTCTGAATTGCATGACAAATATAAGGAAGTGGAACCACAGAGAAATATTGCGAAAAGACATTCTGCCAATCTTAAACCAGAGGGTCATTTTGGTGAGACTTCAGAGCTCCATGACAAGTATAAGGAGCTCGAACCACAGAGAAATATTGCAAAGAGACATTCTGCTAATCTCAAACCAGAGGGGCACTTTGGTGAGACTTCAGAATTACAAGATAGTTACAGAGAGTTTGAACCTCAAAGAAACATTGCTAAAAAACATTCAGCAAATCTGAGACCTGAGGGTCACTTTGGAGAGACCTCTGAATTGCATGACAAATTCAAAGAACTAGAACCACAGAGAAATATTGCAAAAAAACATTCTGCAAATCTCAAGCCAGAAGGCCAATTCGGTGAGACTTCAGAACTACAAGATAGTTACAGAGAATTTGAGCCTCAAAGAAATATTGCGAAAAGACATTCTGCCAACCTTAAACCAGAGGGTCATTTTGGCGAGACTTCAGAGCTCCATGACAAGTATAAAGAGCTCGAACCACAGAGAAATATTGCAAAGAGACACTCTGCCAATCTTAAGCCAGAAGGTCATTTTGGTGAAACATCTGAACTCCATGACAAGTATAAGGAAGTTGAACCACAGAGAAATATTGCCAAAAGACATTCTGCTAACCTTAAACCAGAAGGTCACTTTGGTGAGACTTCAGAATTACATGACAGTTACAGAGAATTGGAACCTCAGAGAAACATCGCTAAGAAGCACTCGGCTAACTTGAAACCAGAGGGCCACTTCGGTGAAACATCCGAACTGCATGACAAGTATAAGGAAGTTGAACCACAGCGTAATATTGCGAAAAGGCACTTTGCTAATCTTAAACCAGAAGGCCACTTTGGCGAAACATCCGAACTGCATGACAAGTATAAGGAAGTGGAACCACAGAGAAATATTGCCAAGAGACATTCTGCTAACCTTAAACCGGAAGGTCAGTTTGGTGAAACCTCTGAACTTCATGACAAATACAGGCCTTTAGAGAGCCAGAGAAACATTGCCAAGAAGCATTCAGCAAACCTCAGACCAGAGGGGCATTTTGGGGAGAATTCGGAGATTCATGATAAGTACAAACCATTGGATTCGCAGAGAAACATTGCAAAGAGGCATCCGGCTAATTTAAAACCTGAAGGGCACTTCGGTGAAATTTCAGAACTGCATGACCAATATAAGGAATTTGAAAGACAGAGGAATATTGCTAAAAGACATTCGGCAAACCTCAAACCAGAAGGGCGTTTTGGCGAAACATCAGAGCTTCATGACAAATACAGGGAATTTGAAATACAAAGGAATATTGCAAAGAAACACTCAGCAAACTTGAAACCTGAAGGTCACTTTGGCGAGACCTCAGAGCTACACGACAAATATAAGGAAGTGGAACCACAAAGAAATATCGCTAAGAGACATTTAGCCAATTTAAAGCCGGAAGGACACTTTGGTGAAACGTCAGAACTTCATGATAAATACAAGCCTTTAGACTCCCAGAGGAACATTGCGAAGAAACACTCCGCAAACCTCAGACCCGAAGGCCAGTTTGAAGGCACTTCCGAACTCCATGACAAGTATATCCCACTGGAAACTCAACGCAGCATAGCCAAGCGCCACACTTCCGAACTAAAACCCGAGGGGAAATTTGGGGAAACTTCGGAGATCCACGATAAGTACAAACAACTCGAAACGCAGAGGAACATTGCGAAACGCCACGATGCATCCTTGAAACCCGAAGGAGAATTCGGTGAAGTTTCAGAGGTCCATGACAAATATAAAACTTTCCAGGCGAGCCGACCTATCGTGGAGAAGAGAAACACTGATAATATTTGGCAAGAAGCTCCAAAGGTGGCTATCAAGGGCAACACCGAAACACTGTCTAATTACAACGAATTCTCTGATACATCTATGCTGGACCTGAGAATACCACCAAAGTATAACAACAATATAAAACCTGTAACGGTTGCCTAGTGTTGTCAGCCAACCATTACAGGTAGTATTAGTTCTATTCTTTGCAGTTTAGCCAATCATAAGTGCACCGCTTATGGTTATAGTAATTATGAAGGATAGAAACGCTTTATTATGTGAATCTAGCTCTTGGGCACAATATATTGTTTTTTTCCTGATATTAGATTATTCTATCATATATAAAACATTCCTACAGATGCATTGCATGAAATCATATTATATAATGTACACATTCAAACTCACACATCCTATATGCCTTGCGTACAAAAGAAAGCTCCTTACAACATTATCTGAGGACAACGTTTGTACAGGAGGCTAAAGTCAAGTGATATACATTCACAACCACAAGCTTTACACATATAGAAAGCAACGCAGGCTCAGTCATCTAGGCGCTGGAAGTCTAGTTCACCTGAAGCCGGTAT